AGAACATTTACAAAGACAGCACGACGACCGTAATTTACATAAAAAGCTTAAGGAGACTGCTGGAATATACAGAAAACGAAGACCAACTACCATAGTTAATCAGGATAACCAGATAGTGCTGGGTGAAAAGGAGAAAATTGATATATGGGAAAATTATATCCAGGAGCTCTTCCATGACGAAAGACCCATGAGTGAAGTTTATACAGACGACCAGCTGACTGGCCCTTCAATCACCAAAGAGGAGATAGAAAAAGCAATATTAAATTCAAAAAACAATAAGGCACCTGGACCAGATGAGATCCCGTCAGAAATACTCAAATTACTAGATGAAAGGGGAATTTCAGCACTACACAAAATATTTAATTTAATTTATGAAACTGGCTGCTATCCTCAACAGTGGTTACGCTCTACCTTTATTCCCCTGCCCAAGAAAGTCAATGCAAAAAGATGTGAGGATCACAGACTCATTAGCCTGATGAGTCACACTTTAAAGATATTCTTAAAAATACTACATCAAAGATTATACAAAAAATGTGAATGGGACATCAGTGATTCCCAGTTCGGGTTTAGGCAAGGTTTAGGAACACGAGAAGCAATAGTAGCAACACAGGTACTGGTCCAAAATTGTTACGATCAGAGGAAGGATGTGTTCCTATGCTTTTTAGATTACCAAAAAGCGTTTGATCGTGTCCAACACCACAAGTTAATGCAGATTCTCAAGAAAGTTGATATAGACCAAAAAGACATAAGATGCATTGAAAACTTGTACTGGCATCAAACGGCACAGCTAAAAATAGACAATTCTATATCCAAGCCCATACATATAAGAAGAGGCGTTCGACAGGGATGTGTGCTTTCCCCTCTTTTATTTAACATTTATTCGGAAGCCATATTTCAAGAGTCTTTGGAGGATGCAGAGATGGGAATCAAGGTGAATGGAGTATTGATCAACAACATACGATATGCTGATGATGGTGTCTTAATTTGTGACAACATAGTCGATCTTCAACAACTTGTCACTATAATCGGAGAATACAGTGAGCGAATGGGACTAGAGATTAATACCAAAAAGACCAAATTCATGATCATCTCCAGAAACTTGGATGCACTTGAAAACTCCACCATAACACTGAATAGTAAATCCATAGAAAGAGTGAGTAAATTTAAATACCTGGGATCGTGGCTTTTTGAAGACTGGGCATCGGACAGGGAAGTAAAATGTCGCATTGAGCAAGCTCGACAAGCTTTCGTAAAATTCAAGAAGGTACTGACTTGTTCTGAGTTCGATCTTCAACTGAGACTAAGGTTTACTAAGTGCTACGTATGGTCAGTGCTGCTATATGGCGTAGAGGGCTGGACACTCAAAACGAGGGATATAAACAGATTGGAAGCTTTCGAAATGTGGCTTTATCGCCGTATCCTAAAAATACCATGGACAGCGAAAATCACAAATATAGATGTCCTTAAAAGAATAAACCAAGAACGCCAACTTTTCGAAACCATCAAGAAAAGGAAAACGGCGTATCTAGGTCACATCATGCGAAATGAAAAATACCAGTTCCTCCAACTTATAATCGAGGGTAAAATTGAAGGCAAGAGAGGAATGGGACGCAAGAAAATGTCCTGGCTCCGAAACATAAGGCAATGGACAGGGATTAACGACATACAATCTCTGATACATATTGCAAGAAATAGAGAATTAATGGAAAATGTGATCGCTAACATCCATTAGTGGATTTGCATCTGAAGAAGAAGAAGAAAGTGTGTCGATAAAACTTAGGTTAAAGCAATATTGTTTCAGTTATCTATTCGTTTTGTTTATTCTATTTTATTTCTAAATTTATATTATATTAGCATATTTAATCAAAATTAAATTTAAAAATCCAAAAAGATAAGTTGAGAAAGTTTTCGGACGCATAAAACTTTTTTGGGTAGGGACTTAATATTTTCAGCTATGGTTTAATCCATAGCACTTTAAAGTTATTTTTCAAGTACTACAAAGTTCACTGAACATAGACTGATTAGTCTGAAGTCATTTTGAACTTAAAAATGGTCGCAATTTGAAACCTAATACAACACACTCTTCAAAGTGAAGCTTCTATAATGGCGTTGTATTACTTTTTCTCTATAGTAAAATACTGAGGTAAGCGTCACGGAAATAAGGTGCTTGTAAACAGTTGGAGGAGTCCATTTACGCTACGAGGATTGTCCGTTATATAACAAACTTTTTCAATTTTATTAAAAGTTATAACAAGGATATTAACTAACAGCGGTTTTATATAATTTTTAAATATTTTTTTGTTTGAATTATGTGTTTATTTGAATCATATATAGATTCATCACGTTTTGATTAAAATTACACGTCTAATAAAAATAATAAATCAATAATAAAATAACTTTATTAAATTTATAAAATATTTGATGGGTTCGGCCATTATTTGATGGAAATTCATTTTATCTAACAATAAAACACTCCAAAACTTCCACAAAAATTTATTATACAATTTTATCACTAAAGTTGTTTCAGCTGAATGTCTTTTTAATTTGTTAATTTCCATAGATTCTAACAAAGATAACTTAAGGCCTTTATTTTGAATGTGAAGAATTTTAAATTCGTTATTACAAGAATGATTATGATCTAGAAGGTGAAGTGCGTGTGTAAATTCTGTTTTTCTATTATTGAAAGCCCTTTTATGTTCTGCTATTCGTTTATTAAAATTTCTACCAGTTTGACCGATGTAAGTTTTTGGGCAATTGCCACATTTAAGTTTGTATACACTACTGCATAAGTGCTTTTTATTTTGGCTCTTGTTGTTTTTAATATATTTGCCTATGTTGTTATTTGTTCTGAAATCTGGTGTTATTCCTTTCTTTTTTATGTGTTTGGCTATTTTTGTTGATATTTTACCTGTATATGTAATCGAGCAGAAGGTACTGGATTTTTTCTCTGTTAGTGGAAATTTAATTTCAGGGCTTTCTTGTGTAGTTTTTGATTTAAAATTTTATTAATTGTTTGTTCGTTGTATCCATTGTTTACTGCCATTTGCTTAATGATATTTAATTCTGTCTCAAAATTGTATTTTGACATCGGAATTTTTGTTAATCTCTGTAACTACTATGATAGGCTGCCAGTTTATGTTGTGTGGGATGGGATGGTGAATTGTGTATAGTCGTGTCAGTATGGGTAGGTTTATGAAATATGGAGAAGTCATGTTTGTTTATAAGTCTGATAATTTTTAAATCTAAAAAATTTATGGATTAATTTTGTTCTGGTTGTAATTAAAGATGTTCTATTTTATTAACTAGTTCTATTGTATTTTTTATGGTAAATTTAGGTGAAAATTTAGTATGTTCTAAAATAATCTCTAAAAGTTTTTTTGAAAGTTTATATGACGGAGCTGTATAAAAATAAAACTACAGGTCTTATTGGTTATCCGGTTTGTGTAGTTTAATAAAAAAAGTATAATTTTAGGAGGCTGTGGGTACATGATATTGAGCTATTTCTGTTCTGTTTGATTTACTATTGATTTTGAATTTCATAATGCTAGCTTAATTTGTTTTTGATACTTTTCCGTCGAATCTTTGTGTAACGTTTTAATATTATGATTATTTAAAAATTCTATTGTATTAATAAAATTTTAAAACAAAAACTAGACAAAGAAACCCTAAAATTAGTAGTTCCATCACTAGAGAAAAAACCCAGTACCTTCTGCTCGATTACATATACAGGCAAAATATCAACAAAAATAGCCAAACACATAAAAAAGAAAGAAATAACACCAGCTTTCCGAACAAATAACAACCTAGGCAAATATATTAAAAACACCAAGAGCCAAAATAAAAAATACACAGTGGTGTGTATAAACTTAAATGTTGCCACTGCCCAAAAACTTACATCGGTCAAACTGGTAGAAACTTTAATAAACGAATAGCAGACATTAACGGGCTTTTAATAATAGAAAAACATATTCTAGTTTTCAGTGTTTTATTGTTATAATTAAAAATATTGTGTAAAATTTAAAAATGCAAAAACATTGTATGAAACTTTGCGCTAGTCTGCAGTAGTGGGCACTATACCACTTTTTTATTTTGACTAGGCTAATATTTCAAATCTAAATCTAAGGATCTATCAAATTCTAGGTTTTTAGGTTGAGTTTACCGAAAGTACAAGCTGATTATAGCCGCAAATCTCAAACATGGAACAAAAAATTTCGGTATAGCAGTGTTGGCATGTTTTTATAATGTAGATGCTGTATGCTTCAAATATAAAAATATAAAGCTTTAGAAAAGTACATTTTGTTTATATTATGTTATGCATTCTGCAATTTTTGATTTATATAAAACAACAATGAGTAAATATTTGTTTCTTTGGAGATTAATTGCAGTTAATTATTAGACATTTTTTTAGCAATTATCCTTTGGTAGGTTAGGGGATAGATTTGGCATTCGTCAAATCAGCAGTTGCCAGATTACAACAGATGTTTGCAATTAATCTCGAAAGAGACAAATATCTACTCGTTACTGCTTCATATAAATTAAATATTGCAGAATTTATAAAATAGTATAATCAAAATGTACTTTTTAAAAGCTTTATCTCTGTGTATTTAAAGCATAGAATATAATGCGTTATAAAAACATGCCAACACTGCCAAGCCGAAATATTTACCGAAAATATCAGGTAAAATTTAATTATTTATAAAATACAAGCTTTAGCTTTGACAAATAATATATTTATTTGTTATTTATTATTTTTATTGTACTATTTTACACATTTTACAAAATAAATAATAAAATATAGTTTATATTAACACATATTTAAACATTATTTTATTAAATAAAAAAGAGGCTGAATGACTCTGGGATATGCCAAAATTAACAACCAACCAACTGTGTATTACACTAAAAAACTTTTAACAAAAAACTTGGATATTTAAAAGCTTTGATTAGTGCATGAATTTGCAAACAGCATAATGACTAAAATTAAAAATGATTATACTCACTTTTCAATGCCCAACTAGTACCATTTACTAGTTCCTTTAAGTACACCATCATATCACTTCTACACGAAACATTATCTAAATCCTCTAACCGTTTCCACCATTTGTAGTGATCATACAGCCTCGAAAACCACCAGAACTGAGACCCGTTACTAAATCTTCTATCCTCCCCTAATATTTCAATATCACTTTCATCGACCGGGAATTGAATCCCATTCGACAAATACGATAGATCCGACGAATTGTATGTGTATTTAACATTAGTGGCATCGGAATAAACCCTTGTCGCGTGCCATATCACAGAAATATATAAAATTTGAAATATTTTATTCATTTCTTCGTTTTTTACAAATAATTACTTATATAACATTTTTTCGAGGCTGTGCATCTTACATAGTTCTTAGACTGAGTGAATTTCGATTTCATCGAAGAGTTGGAATGTGATGGTGTCCCCACTGCACTGAAGGCTTGCATACTGCACTTGTATAGTCCAGGCCATTTTAAGTTGATGTGAAAAATAATCTCATAACTTTTAGTAATATGTTCAATCTACTGTAGATTTTATGATTTCTATCAACTAAAAATTATTTCAAATTTTTATTGGTATATGTGAGACACATCAAATTATCTAATTTTAATTAAGATCCATTTTCATTTATTCTCACATTTGGTGATTTTGAAGTTTTAACACAAATAGAAGTCTCATCATTCACAGGATACACATTTCTTTACAATACAGGAACATTTCTTATTTATTGCTATATTTAGTTAAACCAAATAGATCTTAGTTTGTTATTATAATTAGCCGTTTTATCGTGAATTCTTGTGAGGTTTCGTTGTCTACTCATACAGTTGCTCTTTGCTATAAGTATAAATTTTTAATTATGCGTAAATCTTTGTCGTCAAGACTAGATTCTTTCAGTATTTGAAATAATTTTTGATGTTGCACCTTGTTAAATGCTTTTTCAAAGTCTATAAAGCATGCGTAAACTTCGCAATTCATGTCTCGAGCTCTTTGTATCAATACTTGTATGGAAAATAGGGCCTCTCGCGTTCCCAGTCCGCTTCTAAACCCAAACTGAACACTGCTTATGATTTCTTCAAGTTTTCTATATATGCGAGAGTTAATAACAGAAAGAAGGATTTACAGTGCATAGCTCATTAAGCTTATAATTCTGTAATCAGAGCATCTGGTGGCATTTGTCTTTTTGGGGAGAGGAATGAAGGTGGAAACTAGCCAATCTGTAGGAAGTTCTGCAGCTTCATAGATTTTGTTCAGTCGACTCTTTAGGAGTTTGAGTTGATTGTTTTCAAATAGTTTCAATATTTCAGCTTGTATGTTATCAGGTCCAGGTGCTTTATTGGTTTTAAGTCTTTTTATTGCATATGTAACTTCACTGAGCGGTATTACTGGTCCTGAACATCCAGAAACACTGACTTATATTTCTTGCTCTTCCTTGACTAATTCTTCCATGTATTGCCTCCATCTCTCAAGTATTCTCTTATTTTCGTAATGCAGATTATTGTGCTCGTCTATTATTAAATGATGCCTTCGTGGCCCGTTTCCTTCCGTTAAGTTTTTGATCTTTTTATGTAGATTAAAAGTGTCATCCTTCTGTTCTAGGGATTCAATTTCTATGCATTGATCTTGTAGCCATGATTCTCTTGCTTCTTTAATCTTTTTCTTAATGATTTTGTTTATTTCTTTGTACCTTTCCTCATTCTTATTTCTGTGTTTTCTTCGTTCTTCTATTAGCTCTAATATTTCTTGTCTCATCCACGGCTGTTTCTTTATATTGTTTTCTGGTTTAAGTTTATTATCTACTACTGAATTACAGATATTTTTGATTTTATTCCACATATCATCCACACTTATGTTTTCTTGATTAATATCTGAGATTAACAATACGAAATAAAATAAGAACAGTTGAACTGGACTTCATGAGAAAATGTCTACAAATCACAAAAGCGGATAGAATAAGAACGGAGGAAATATGGAACAGTTATTATTACAAATTACAAAAAGTTGGAAAAGAGAGCCCTGCAGTGGTACGGGCATGTACAAAGAATGCCAGAGCATAGGTGGCCGAAAAGAATATTAAACTGGGACCCGCCGGGAAGAAGACGGAGAGGAAGACCTGCTACAAGATGGAAAACATTCGTCGGAAATGCTATGATAGATAGAGACCTCAGAGAAGGTGACTGAGAGAATAGAGTGCTGTGGAGGACGAAAACGGCGAACTCATAGTGGGAAAAGCCGAAGAAGAATAAGAAGATATCTGAGATTACCATATTGTTTATTTTGTTGTTGATTTCCTCTTTGACTTCGTCTCTTGTGGTTTCATCTTTCAACTTCTGGATGTCCGAACGTTTTTCTGTTTTTGTGCTTTTCTTTTATGGACTTTTTTCATTATGGTCTGATCGAACATCGGGTTTCTGATCATTTTATTTTCACAGTCAGCTGGAGATTTTCAGGTGTAGAGTCTTCCAGCTGAAAATTGAAAAAAGGTGTTCATTATTGCACTTACCGTTTCCTGGCAGAACTGAACAAGGCGGTCTCCTCTATTATTTCGCGTTCCTAGTCCAAAGTGTCCCACAGTATTGCCAACACCTCCTTTGCCTACTTTGGCGTTGAAACTTTCTAGCATGATATTCACTTCTTGTTTTTTTTTGGTATGTTTTAGGGGTTCTTTCAATTGTTCATAGAATATTTCTATTTGCTGCTCTGAGCTTTCCGAAGTTGAAGCATATGCTTGAATAATGTTCACGTTAACTGGTTTGGCATTAATTTTGAGTACTGCAACTCTATCTGATATTCCTATAAATCTAAGTACACATTTGTTAACTTCTTTATTTACTATTATAGCCACTTCATTTTTGTTTCTTTGTTTCTGTTGTTTTCTATTTCGCACTGGATATCTAGCCATACTAACTGGAAATTGGGCCATCTAACTTCACTGCATCCAAGTATGTCAATGTTGAGTCTTCGCATTTCTTTAATTAAGTTTAATTCACTTTTCCGGCTTGGAATAAACTTCGTATATTCCATGTACCAATCTTCTTATTATGCTTAAATCTAAATATTTGTGGCAACCGGGGATTCTTAGCACCCTTTCCCTACTTAAGGGGTTATATTGACTTGATCCATTGTGATTATACTAGGGAAAGTTAATTGGAGTGGTTTCCCGTTACCTTCCCCAATGCTTTTTCTTTCGTGTGAGAGAATGGATATGTGAGAGGATTTATTTGTTTTGGTAGGGATCTTGGGGTTGGGACATGACTTCCCCCAGTACCGTTTGGGGATATCCATGGCTTATGTGTTGCATACCTAAAGTAGATCTATCTCATACCGGGATTATACAAGAGTATCTACCCGCGGCCCACAAAAGAACCCTGAGATTAAATTTGAACATCTGATTTACAATTTGGTTTTTATAATTAAGATCATTAAGATATTTATTAAATAAGAGACTGATTAATTAATTATTTTATGTTTTGTCAAATTTATTGAATTTTATAAAAAGTAACTGTATTTTAATTTAGATCAAATTTCAATCTCATAATAATATATAGGGTTACTGAAGTCCTAAGTGGAACATGTGGCATCGGTGAAAAAGCGCCATCAAGTCCTATTTTGCGCTACCGCCTTAACCTCGTTTAAGACTTTCCTTGATCTCTCATCTCATCCATAAATGATGTTCTCCAAGTTTACGCTGGGCGTATTCTTTTTCCTTGTAGATTTTACTCTAGGGTAGTCTTTGCAATACAGGAACTATTTTTACCAAGTGTGTGAGCTATCTAGCCCCACTTTCTGTAGTTTATTTCATTGTTCAGGTGTAGCGGATCTTCGTTTCTCGTGGTGTTTGTTTTTGGTTGACAAACAGTTTTGTTAATCTTTTCAGTATCAACCTTTAGGAAGTTTAATATTGTTACCTAGGGCTGGATAGTTTAGGCGTTAGAGTGTCTATTTTCCATGCAGAGTGAAGGAATCGATTCCCACCGCCGGCGAGAACATCTAGATACTATAGAGAAATATATAAAGGCCTCAGGTCGACTCAGCATGAATAAAATAAGTACCTTGGGTAAAATAATGGGTAATGATAGGCGGTTAAAGCGTAGCACTGGCTCTATTACCTTTCTATATACTGTAGGCCCAAGAGATAGCAGACTGCCTACCATAATTCCAAAGCCGCAATAGCGGTATAAGTGTTCAAACCGTTCGAAATGTGGGTCTTCAGAAGAAATATATGCGTGTCCTCGACAGAATACAGAACCAACGTATCAATTGTCGAAGAGCTTCATACAAGAGATCATCATCATCAACATCATACAGCCTTCATTTATCTCGTCCACTGCTAGACATATGCCTCTCTTAAACTTCTTCATTCTTTGCGATTTTGTGTCCTTTGTTGCCAATTTTTCGTGATACGCCTACTGTCGTCAGCTCAACGTATAGGTGGTCTTCTTCTACTACGTTTGTCTGCTCTTGACCTCCAATATGTAATTTTGCTCGTCCATCGTGAGTCATGCATTTTATGCATCCTACTCACTGGGGTAAATCTGTATTTGCTTTAAAATCTGATATCGCGGTTTTAAGGAATATATTGGCATTTAAAACGCCACGCCAGTATCCAGCCGGTTAAATCAACTTGATTACCTCCTGTGACCTTGTGGTACCGCACCTAGCCACGGGCCACTAATGGCATAGCTGCTGACTTGTGTCATGTCCTCAGTTGATCCGCGGGTACTTATTCGTACTAAGCCTTATTCGTACCTGTCCTGCATATCTACAGGAACTTCCCTATCAGCCATTGGGACGCGCTGTGTCGGGGATGACGACGCTCCCGGCCAGTCTGTCTTAAACAAAGTACTGGAGGACCTGTACTAAGTTCAGAGTCCCTCCACCCGTACTAAGTTCAGAGTCCCTCCTTTATGCTAGCTGAGACCGACACGGCATACAAGAGATAGGCTATTACAATTTAAAAAAGTAAACCGAGCATACCTAAATTACTTCTGCCATGTAGCCAGAAGAAAGGAGACTATGGAACTATTGGTAGTAGAAGGCAAGGTAGAAGACCGAATATCAAGAAAAAGATATCCAAAACGATAAGCAGACCAAGTGAAGACTACGGTGGGAAAATTCCTGAGAAACATCGGTACATCTTATAAATAGGATTTCTATATTTTTTGCATCTTATTTCAACCATTACTATTTCACACCTTTGTCAAACATCAAACAAAATGTTAAACAAGTCAAGTTATGTATTTACAATTCTGTAGAAATGGCGCTAAAATTCATATTTACTACAAAGACTACTACTAATTAGTTTTTTTTTCATACATCAGTATTTAATCCATACAGTATTTAAAACACATTGAAAATAAATAGCAGTTTTTTAGATACTGAGGTG